CTGGAAGGCAGAGGCTGAGCCAGAAGGAAGGAACTATCGAGTCCAAATAATTTGGATCTTTCTTCTAGAAAACAGGAGTATGGTGCTATCCTATTTCCTCTTTAGTATGGTAGCTTGTCACCTCATCAGCCAAAGGTGTTGAGATTAAAATGTCTCCTGTGTAGGGTTCTAGATTTAGCAAATAAAAATACAGGACAATGAGTTTAATTTGATTTTCAGATAAGCAGTGAAAAAATTTTTTAAATATAAGTATGTCTGAAATATAGCTTCTGACATATTTATGATAAAAATGATTTCTTTGGAATTTAAATTTAACTGGATTCATGCATTTTGTCTGGCAACTTCATTCCTAGGACACTGGCCACCTTTGTTATAAATCGTGACTAAACCAAACAATGTTTTGACTTCTGGGAAAGCAAGAAATTTCTAGTCCTTAGGTTTCTCTTGTAGTCTTTTTTTTTTTCTTTTTTTCTTTTTTTTTTTTTTTGCCTCTAACTCCCTACACATACAGACTTCTTCTTTCTCACCTCTTTCTAGTTCCTCTCTACCACTTCCTTTCAAGGGCTGTCTGCTAGAGAGGACCGACTGCATCTACCAACACTTCCAAGAATTATAATATGGCTTCAACTGCCATTGATTAAACCAGTAAAAGGGCTGAAAACTGAGAAAGAAGAAGTCAATCTTCTTAATGTGACTCACAGGAAGGAAACCTGGTGAACAGACAGTTGGATGATAGGCTTCTGACTCACAGAAAATTTCTTGGCTAAAGATTTGTAGACAGCCATCACCGTTAGTTTGCCATTGACAAACCGCTAAAGTTTCCCTAGCAGCACAGAGTGTTGTATTGATTAAAAAACAAACAAACAAACAAAAAACCCAAAAACAAAAACAACAAAACCCATGGGTTTAGATGAGCTGCTGAGCACTTGATGGTTCCAAACATTGGATTAAAATGAGCTTTTTAGGTATTTGCAGAAAGCCTCAGGTAAAAAGCAGAAGGCTCTATGAGGGCCGTGCTCATGGTTTCAAAGCATTATACCAGCATTGTGTTCTGTGAGGTTGTTCTTAGGAGAGACTCAGGAGAAATCACAACTGTGTGACTTGTTCTATGCTGCAGGCAGTGGACAAGCCTCACCTATAGTGAAGAGGATGTGGGCTAAGATTATTCTCAGTAATGACTTGAAAAGCTTGGGTATTTTTTAAGAGGTGTAGAAAATATTAAACTGATGTGATTTTACTATTCCTCCCATAGATCATATCTCTAGCAATGCTTCCACCATGGTAGTGGTATTGGAGGTGCCCAGAGGTGCCTGTATGGGTCTCCCTTCAAGAAAGAACTTGCCGTTCAGCTGTAAGGTGTGCAGTTAGCTCACAGATATTATCTCCTCACAGAACAGCCTCCAGATATTAGCACCTTAGACTGCTTCATCTTTTGAGCTGGGGCAGCCCCCAGCTAATGGCTGAGCAATAGCCGGTACTAGGCCTGGCCATTTTTTTTCAACATGAGATTCCTCTAATGAGTGATCTGCGTTCTGGAATTCCCCATTGCATTGGCCGAAACTTAGCATGGTCTGAGGCTCTCCCTGTCCAATCTTGCTTTCTCCATCTTTTATCTTTGCAAGTGTCACTCTCTGATAAATCTCTTGCGTTCTTAATTCTGTCCCAAGTATCTGCTTCTCCGGGCACACTTGACACAGCCATCATAGCCCCCAAGGAAGTGGGCAGGCCAGGTGCCAATCTAGCAAAGGAAAAGATATTTTGAGGGGAACATTCTGTACCAGAAAGGAAGGCACGGGGAAAGGCATACTCTTTCCTGCCCAGGACAGTACAGTAATGAGAAGAGAGGTGGGGGTAGGGTAAGCCCTTCACATACTAGGGTGCCTCACGTCCTCCTTGGGGCCAAGCCTTGTTGGGGAGGGAACCATGGGTGCGTTCAGAAAGGTATGGGGAGACTAATACTATTGGAGCCAGTGACCTATTCCTCCCATATAAGCTGGAGGAGGCTGAAAGCATCTAGTGGAAGCCCCACATTTTTCACGGCTTGAGTAGGACAGGGCAGCATTAGAAGATCGAGGGAACTTGGTGGTCAGCGATGTGATATATCCCTGTGTTGCAACATGCCCTGCTGAAGGTCAGGGTTGGCTGGCAATGCAGAGACCTGAGGTTTAGAAATGGAGGCCAGTGAGATCAAGCAGTCTGAGCTCTAGGAGGAATGGCAGCATCAATGTCCCATGACTACAGATGCCGTAACATGTCAGTAAACAAACTAGACCAGGGACAACTGAGGATAATAGCAGGGTCCAGAAACCCAGCAGGTGAGCCCACCAAGACCAGAGTTTGCCATCCTTATTCCCATACCCACAGATGCACAGTAAGGACACCTTCATCAACCAGAGGCCCAGGTGCTATGTTGGAAGGCCAGGGGATGGTGGAAGAGGCCAAGATACGCTAAGTCCAGGCCTTCCCTCCTAGTTCTATGGGGTTGGGAAAGTACAAAGGAGGTTTGATCAGTTATAGAAAACAAAGGAGCTATGTGTTTTTGCATGTCTGAGTGTGTCAGAATCAGTTGGTGACCCCATTGCACTTGAATAAAAGCATTTTACATTTTGAATGTTAGCCCAAGCAATGGAGTTAAGGAGAGGTCAGGCTTAGCATCTCCTAAGTCATATCTGAACAGCAACTTCCTGCAGAGAAACCTCCACAGGTTGGATAAATTACAGATATGTGTACGGTGAATGTTTGGCTGCTCTCTGGACCACACTTTTCAAAGGATGGGAGATAAACCACCGGTGATAGCCAGAGTGATTTTTGGTTGTGTGTAAATAGCATCAATTAGCATTGAATCACACCCAGGTATCCCATTTTAGTTTCTCAAATTTCTCAGCCCTTCTGATCACATAAGAGCAAATTTTGGCGATAGCCTTGTCTCTGACCTCTTGAGCACTTTCCAGTTCCCATCCTTAACAATGTGAGAACAGTACTGACGGCCTTCTATCCCCAGTCCATTCTGCATGAGACAGCCACCAGGACCCTTCAACAGAGACCAAGCAGTGCCCCATCTGTGCTTCAGGCCCCCTGAGCACCTCCTCATTTAACTCACAGGGAAAGCCCAAATCCCTTCCGTGGTGCCAAGGCCCCACTTGGACTGACTCTTCACGCTGCAGCCCCACCCACTCTTTTCCACTCATTCCCTTCCCTTCATGGCAGTGGCCTCCTGCTGGTCTTGAATATTCTTTCCCCCATGTACCAGCACAGCTCACATCTCTTATCTGTCAGGACTTCACACAGTTGCCCCTGGTTATATTATTCTGGATTGCAAGTCTCTCCTACTCTCCTGTCTTTTTCTGCATTTTGCATGTGTGCATGTGTGATATATCTTACTTCCTGGATTTTCTCTTTCCCTTCCTGGCAAAGCAAATGCAAACACAACAACAACAGCAACAACAAAACCCCACTAGATGCTATTATTCCACCCTTCTCAGCTTCTGGAAATTCTGATACATATTTACATATATATTTATATTATAGATCTTCCTAGACTTACAATGAGATTCTGTCCTAGACTTACAATGCGTCATAAATCGAAAATATCATACGTTAAAATCTATGTAATACCTTTAACCTGCCAAACATCATAGCTTAGCCTACCCTACCTTAAACGTGCTCACAATGTATACCTTAGCCTACAGCTGGGCAAATCATCTAACGCAAAGCCCATTTGATAATAAAGTGTTGACTCCTTCATGTAATTTATGATTACTGTACTCAAAACGACAAACAGTAGGGCTGTGTGGGTGCAGGCTGGTTGTGAGCCCTACCCCAGTGATCATGTGGCTGACAGGGAGCCGAGGATTGTTGCTTCTGCCCAGCATCACCAGTGAGGACCCTACTGCCTATCATTACCTGGGGGAAAGATCCAAATTCAGAATTCCAAGTACAGTTTCTACCTGAACATGCATCATTTTGACACCATTGTCAAGTTAGAAACCATAGAGTCAAAGCATCCTAAGTCAGCACTGTTCTGTCCATGTTCCTTCTAGATGTGAGATTTGGGTTGTAGAAGGTCAAGGGAAGAGAATGTGGAACCTTCTCGGCCTAGCTGGTCTCTCTTCTTCTGCCTCCCCTCCCCTTCGCTCCCTCTTCTCCTGATCAGCGATCTGGTGAGCTCTCTGCTGCAGCACATTGCAGAGCTGGTCCAGGAGGGCCAGAGCCCCAGGCTGGGTGGCCCCGCTTCCCCACACTGCCTGGCTGTGCCACACAAGAAACGTGTGCCAGGCTGGTGCTTCGGAGGCCGCGCTTCAGAGTCACGGTTGTGTTAGACTGAAGCCCACACACAAACCTAGAACCCTGGAATGGAGAGTGGGCTGGGAAGCCGCCGCAGGCCCCGCTCCGCCCAGCTGTCTGACTCGGCACTGTTTCCCCTCGTCACCACAGCACCCGGGTCTGGGTTGTCAGGGAGATACGAAGGAGCATTCCGATGAGAAAGAAACTCTCCCGAGCGCGGGGGGCAGCAGTCATGGAGGGCCCCACCCAGATCCTTGGCTCCGCCCCTCCTCCCACCCCCCACAAGAATCTACACATGGAGCTGGAACCGGAATTCAAACGGGAGCCGTGCTCACACACATCCCTCGGTTCTCGGTGCCCTTTGGGAAGGAGATTCTTGCTGCTGGATTTGTGGACTTCTCCAAGCTTCGGGGGTGGATTTGTGTTTTGAAAAGACACCTGTGTTTCTTCAAGGTTCAGAGAGATTAGTGGCGGAGCTACTCGGTTCGCATAGGGAGTAAGGCTGTGACAGGGCCCTTGATCACCACGGGGGCCCTGGGAAAATGGAAGAAGAGAGGCGGGACAACGCCCCAGGGCCTGGGATTCCTGCTGTGAGTTCACCTGCCTTCCGAGCAAGGTGCACTGTGAGGAGACATCTACACAAACTCCAAGAAGCCAACACTGCTGTCCAACCGCTAACTCTCCGGCCAAGCTGCTCCGTTTCTACATGCCAATACCTGAGTAACAGGATCCAGTTTGACAAGCCTTTGGGAGCACACGGAGATGACATAATAATGCTGCCAAGCACCCTAGTGCTCGCATCTTTATGGAGCTTGTGTTCCTTCCCATAATCCTCTGCACGGGAAGAGGGCTTTATTTCCCCTACTTTACAGATGAGAAGACGGAGATGGAGCAACCTTCGGCCACCAAAAACTAGAAGGAAAAGGATTGCAACCCCGGGTCTCATGATCTAAATGTGGGGTGTTTCCCAGTCCCTGCCAGTAGATGAGTTCCTTAAAAACGAGCTGCACGAGTCTGAGGCCTGAAACCACAGGCCTTACCGATGTGGCTGCAAACTGCTGCTCTCGGCCAGGAAGAGAAAAGCCAAGTAGAAGAAAAACCACACTGCCCTGGAGGACCTTAGCACGTCTCACACACGCCGAATATTTACATGTGTTCCCCACACGGTCTCTATGGCAACTGGCAGAAGTACAAAAACGCTTGGTTGATATTTGTAAGAAGACAAGGCGAGAGTGCTCCAAGATCCTCTTTCTCCCAGCAGGCAGAGCTATTTCCATCCACTGGCTTCATGACTCTCCCAGCAGCCATTTGGCATGAAGACCTCAAACAGTGGGGAGCCAGAGAATTGGTCCAATAGGCGTGTGGACCTTACAGGGTAGAAGGACTTCATCTCCCGCTCCCTCTTCCAGGCAATTATGCACAGAGTCAGGAAGGGATTTTGTTATTAAGAAGTCTCAATGGTAAGGAGCTGAGAGTTTGTGGTTTCCAGTTTTTAACCACAACATTGAAGGCGTGTCTCCATTTTTCTTATGGTTTCCAGCGCACACCATTATCTAATTCTCCCTGAAGAGTCAACGTTGCTTTATGATGCACGTATATCAGTGATGTGCACTGGAGACTCTAAGCCAGCAAGCAACATCTTTCTCAGAAACCTCCCTCCTCGGCCCCTTTCCCGCATCGTGCCTTGAAATTGCCCCCTCCACCTTTTCTGCCACAAACACGGCATGGGAAATCTGTAGCCACGATTAAAACTAATTCAACTCCACATATGTGCAACAGAATATTTAACTCTCAGCACGCCAGTCTGTGACTTATATGACTTCGTGGCATTTGTTAGTGGCTTGGGTGTCAAAACCACCATCCAGCGTGTTCTGGGAAAAACAAGAATAAGATGACTTTCAAAGATCTTACAAGCTAGCTTAGCTAGGCTCTTATATAGACTGAACAAAACCTTACACCTTCCACGTGGGACCAGCACATCTATCGAAGCCCATGTGAGAAAGAAAGTCCCTCTGCAAATGTCCCAGGGGAGGCCAGGTTCAGGTGCAAGGAGCTGGTACAGTTGTCTAAGACTAGTGCTCATGCGACCTTGCTTGAGTTTAACACAAGGCATTGGTATGGTCCTGCGTTTCTTCATTTATCTTTGAATCTGTGTTTTCTAAGTGAAGTCTGAGGGGATAGCGATGCGAAGTTCACTGGTGATCCTGCACCCCACCCCGACCTCCTAGTGTCCCTAGTGACCCAAGTGCCTTGTCCCCACCACCATTCTGTGACTGCTGCCACCTTCACCCAGGGGGGCTTGCCAGGTCTTTTCTGCAGGCAGGATACCCCATGCTCCCTTCTGCTCCCAGTAGGAGACCTAGGAGCAGATGCAGGGTGGGGCACGAGAGTTGTGTCGCCAGACGAAACATACTCCAGCGACTCCCCGTATACAGTCTAAGCAAGTCTTGAATGGCTGTCATAAATAAAGCCAATCCTGACTTCCTACCAGTTCAATTACAGCAACTTATATTCCCCAGAACCCATTTAAACCATAAAAATATCAAAACTAATTATGAAAGAGATATGTGAGTACTATGAGGTCACCTCCTAAGTACATTTAAGACATTTGATCTATGTACTATATCAGTATAATCATGACCTTACTATATGTATATGCATAAGCTCTTACAAGCATTTGTTTATTATGGAAAATCAAGCACAATGTAAAATTTACATCCTACGTGTGCCTTGTGGGAGATCTTCTTGCAGAGACTGGACTGACTGAAGCTTTGTTCTCTAAACTTGGGCAGACATTTTAGGTGTTGAAAAGTGTCATTTTGATGATGATTTCTTTCAGCGCTTCCTTTGGAAAGGAAGAGTTACAAATAACAAGGCACAAGATTCCCCTCAGAGGTATATTTTTAGCAAAATAACACCTTGTAAATTTTCTTCTTGTGCTCAACAGCTAGGCGGCTGCATAGAAGGTCTGTCCAAGCCGACACATGTTCACTGGGAGTCTGCCATGATTTGAACCCGACCGTGGGCTGTGGGCAGCATGGAGGGTGCTGAGATAAATAAGAGGGTCCCTGCGTCTAAAAAAGAAGCGTATCAGCTGAGGAAGAGATATAAATGTGTAGCTGTAGAAGGGAGCTGGCCAAAATCTTATGGGTGGCTGGCAGGCCTTTCTCAGTGGCTCCCTCCACCCGGAACACCATGTCGTCAGCAGAAGGCAGCTGGCCCAGGCCGACTGTGGACGGCGCTTGATCACTTACAGGCCCTCGGGAGTTGCCGTCCACAGCCTGACACATAGAGCACTTTGCTGCCTGTTCTCTCTCCAACTCTGACAGTGCTTTTGGAAAGGCACTGTTTCTTGGGTCAACATGAAGGTGACCCTGTGGAAGACCTTGGAAATGTTACCTATAAGTAACCCCAATGTTATTAAGGGCTTGCTACATGTGAGGCGCCAAGCCACAGTCCAGGAATAAAATCCCTGTTTTTAAGGCATCATGGTAAATTAGAGGAGAATGTGTATGTAAGCAAATGACAAAATAAAGTATGCATTAAAAGTGGGCATGGGAAAGGGACAGTCAAAAGTTACCTAACCTTAAATCTCAGCTCTGACTAGCTGGCTCACTGACTGTAGTTAAGCCCCGTAACTTCTCCGGGCTTTGGTTTATTTGTAAATAGTCTGTGGCTGAGGGGACAGAGATCATCTGTCTGGGTTCCAAGCTGCCTTTCTTTTAAAAATTTTCTGTCTCTTTGAACCTCCTAGAAATCACCTGTGCTAAATAGGCAAGATTCTCTTTGACCTGTGTATCAGTTTTCTAGGGCTGCCATGACAAAGTACTACAAACTGAGTGTAGTCTAAACAACAGAAATTTGTTGTCTCAGAGTTTTAGAGGCCAGAAGTCTGAGATCAAGGTGTTGGTAGGTTGGTTCCTTCTGGGGGCTGTGTTAGCATCTGTTGCATGCTTCTTCCCTAATTCTTGATGGTTTGCTGGCAATCTTTGATATCCCTTGGCTTATATAGCTCTGTCTTCATGTTCATATGGTGTTTTCCTAGATGAATCTGTGTGCAAATTTCTCTTTCTTTTATACATATATCAGTCTTATTGGTCTAGTTCATCTACCTCAGTATAACCTCATCGTAATTGTATAACTTGATCTTAACTAGTTATATTTGCAATAAGCCTATTCTCAAATAAAGTTGCATTCTGAGGGCTAGGACTTCAACCTATGAATTTTTAGAGGGCACAATTCAACCTATTTTAATAATGCATTTTATTCATTTCTATCTTAGAATCTTTGATCCATCCTTATTCAATATGATAAATCTTTTTCATTTCAGTTGCCAGCTGTGATCAATTGGGATGATTACCTGAAATGTTGCATAGAAAAGCATTATGAATTGACATCCAAGATTAATGGGAAAGGTGATTGGAATTGGTTTGGATTATGGGGACAGGATATAAGGAATTAGGGGGTTTGTCGTGTATCTGCTCACTGAACAAGCTGATGACTTTAAAATCCTGCTGCTCACTCCTAAAGGAGGGATCTCACCAGAGAGTGAAAAAACTGCAAATAACTGCTTTTTTTCAGATCTCGCCAATTGAGATGATCCCCAAAAGGTGGTTGCCCATTTGTAGTCTTGATGCATTCAGTAATCTTTAGGGCCTTTCAGTCTAGCCCATGAGAATGATCAGATCTTCCGTAGGACTCAGCTAGTCCATGATAGGCATGAAGGGAGTTAAACCTTCAGGAAGGCATGATCAGTATGGACTTCCTGAATGTCTTCCCTGTTGAAACCAAGAATTTGCTTTGGCTAAAGCGTTGCTGCTGGAACCAGATAGCTTCTGGAGTCACCAAAAATGAATCCTCACTCCCACTCTTGACACCTACCACATCCAAACCACCAGATGATGACAGCTGCTGTAGAAATCTAAGCAAGGGGAATGATGCCCAGCTTGATACAAGAGCCAAGTGATGGGAAGTGACAGGAAGTGGGTTGTCTGTGTCATTGTGGATACAAAGAAAGTACTTTCAGGACACAGAGGGAAGTGGCTGGGGACCCTAAAGCCAGGTTTGACTATCCAAGGAAATCCTTCATTTTTGCTTCATCTTCTAAGGTCCTTGAGGAAAATCTAGCAGATTTTGGCCAAAACCAAAGCCCACTCAACACCAGAGAAGATTTCAATTGAGGCTCTTGATCCTAAGACATTCATCTGAATTATGACTATCATTGATTTGAAACTTTTCCCATCATGAGATGGAATCACGATCACAGGCACTGTTTCAAATGTTTCCCACTGGTGAAGGTCACATTCTCTTCCATGGTATGGTAGATTGATTGCATTAATGGCCCATTTTTATGCCTCCCTGCATCTACCTCATTAGTAGTATCCTCTCACACCAATTCTTGGTTTGGTCATGTAATCAACTTTGACCTCAACAGAGGCTTGAAAAGCACTAGTTCATTTCTGCTTACCCTCTTTGACCCTGGCCCTCATCATGAGAACATTCCCAGGCTAGTCTGCTGGAAGTAAGTCAGGAACACATGGAAGAGAGTCAAGTCATCCTGCCATCTTAGACCAGCGTCCCCCAGTCACCTAACAAACTGACCGCAGGCACATGAATGAGCCCAGCTGACCAACCCATCAGCCAACCCCAACCCAGACCAGGAGAACCACCCACCTGACCAGTAGACTTGTCAGAAATAAGGAATCGTTATTTTAAGCCACCGAATTTGGGGGTGGTTTGTTATTCAGTAATAACTAACTGCTACATATGATCTCCCACATGTAGGGCTAAAGAGGGATAACTAACTGCTACATATGATCTCCCACATGTAGGACTAAAGAGGGATAACTAACTGCTACATATGATCTCCCTCATGTAGGGCTAAAGTGGAAGAATAACAGATTAAGTATAAGCTGTGGTGTCCACTGCTAGAATTCAGTTGTGACTAAGAAACTCTATGGAGCTGACAGGGCAGGTCTGTTAAAAGAAAGTTATTTGCATGGAGTGCCTCCCAAGAGAGAAGAAATCCCAAGGGAAGAACAAGTCAAGCAGAGAAGCTTGGGCTGGAAACAAAGACTTAGTCATCAGAGGCTGAGAAAATCCACCCTAGTGTCTACTATTCTAATGGGTCTTCTGGCTTAAGCTCAATGGAGTCTTGTCTGACTTTTATGGTAGAGGGTAGAGGAAGGATATGGGCAAAAGATGATTTCCCTCCCAGCCCTGTAGGACCCTGGGATACAAGCTCCCCAGCTTTGGGATCAGTGTGGAAAATTGTAGAGCTAAAGCAGGAAGAAGGGATCTACGTGAACAAAGCACAGGTCTGGCACCTGGAAGATTCCAGCACCTCCATCAGAGATAGGGCACCCAGAAGACTAAGTCACATCTGTCTAAATAGCTACCTTAATTCACTATTTCACTCATTTATGCAATCAACCAATACTGAGGGCTACTCAGACTATACCAATTAGGTTACACTGAGGGGAGACAAAGGCATTCAAAAGGTAGGGTCTCGCCCAGTAAGGAACACACAGATCTATCTACATTTAAATTTTTGTTTAATGTTTTCTTTATTTCTGAAAGAGAGAGAGACAGAGAGAGACAGCGTGAGCAAAGGAGAGTTAGAGAGGGAGAGAGATACCGAATCTGAAACAGGCTCCAGGTTCTGAGCTGGCTTGTCAGCCCAACACGGGGTTTAAACCCACTAACCATGAGATCATGACCTGAGCTGAAGTCGGACGCTTAACCGACTGAGCCACCCAGGCGCCCCTGGTTTACATTTAAAACTAGGTTTGATCTCCTGCGCTCTGACTAATGTATAACTGCTGAGAGCACTCTGGAGCATTTGAAAGGTCACATCCTGATTCCGAGGAGTGCTGTGATTGGCTAGCAATGTCTGTTTTGGCCACATAATTGTCATCTGGTGGTTGGTCTAGTTTTATGT